CTAAGTATTTTGATAATTCACAGAAAGCATAAAAGAAAATTTAAGGAAAGCAAAGAAAAAGCAGAATAGTCAAACAGAAAGGGAATATAATTTACATTTACTTGGTAAAGGGGACATAGTGCTAGGCTTTTCTTTTTAATAAGGTATATTCAGGTATAGAATGACTTGTGGTATATTGTCATGATGCCCAAACCTAAAATTGAGTTCACATTCACATTTGAATTTGGCACTTTGAGCTATCATTTATTTTAGCCTGTTGCTCTGCTAAATTATGTTTAAAGCGGACCTGTTATATTTTCTCAGATTCAACAAGAAAGCACATCCATATATTTTGATGTAATTAACTCAGCTTTGTCTTTAAAAAAGACCCTATAACTTACAGTCTGGCGTTCAAAGAGAGGAATGAGGTAAATAAGGATTATTCCTTTCACATTCTGAGAAGAAAATAGTTGGAGAAAGAAGCAAGAGGAAAACTGGTGCAGAAATTGGAAAACCCAAGTTCAACTCCTGCCTAAAGAATTTGAACCCATGCTTCTATCACTCAGGCAAGTTCCCTCTTCACTAGAGCAGGACATACTTTTCATTGATATCAACCTTTATTTTGGAGCTCCTCTCATAGCAATTGAGAGAAAAACACGACAACACCCAAATGGTTAGGACACGCATTGTAAAGTGCAAAGCCCACATTAAAATCTGCTCTTGTGCTGCAAATAGGTTACAAACCAGAGCCTTCAGCTTCCTCCTTGAAAAGTGCCCAAGTCTTAGGTCTCTCCAGTTGATTTGTTGTTTTCCCCAAAAGGGAACTCATGAAATAATGTCAGAGATACTGATTTCAGGAATACCCTTTGGAAATAAAAAAAATGAACAAAGTAAATCTTTTAAGAAAAAAAAAATAATCTTTAAATCCAGTTCTTTCCTGTGGCACTGCAATTTACAGACCACAGATTTGCTCCTGAAGGTATTGCAAGAAGTAGCAAAGCTGTCACTGAGATGGACTGAAAATTATCAGGACTTGTGTCTTAGGCTTATCAGGTAATTCACTACAGTTTCTCCTTACATGTTACAAAAACTAAACTACAACTTTACCTTTCACAGTCTAATCTACATAATACTATTCTAATCAGTTTCTAATGCACTGGTTCAAAATCAGAAAGAGGCATGAAATCAACTGGATCTTGAGGAAAAACATGGACAGTCTCTACAAAGACACAGGCTGGATACCTGAAATCTTTAAATATAACTAGAAAAGCAATAAAAGGCTAAGAAGGGAAATACAGATTTAAAATTATGATGGACTTTGATCCATTAAAAAGTTTTGTTTAACACATAAAAGGATGTCACTGGCAGTTAATGAAAACCAAGCATCAGAGTCCTGCTAAATAAGCACATATTCAAAAAAAGGTACTGCAAAAAGTTGCCAGCAATCATATTATAGAAGCAAACTATAGAAAATAAGGAAGCTTGATGCATCATATATGCTTATATGTCCCTTCCTTTTTGCCACAAAGAAAAATAATCTTCAGTTTCTTTTTAGGCAACGGATTGAAATTTCTCCTTCAAAGTAGAAATAAAAAGAACCAGCACTGCAGCACTGATCCATTTACATATGCTTAGAGTAGTCAGCTGCACACTGGTATTTGTGACACAAATCAGTCTGTAATTAATAAACAATTATTAAAGCTTACATCTTTTTAAAATGTCCTCTACTCTTATTTAATTAACTGTATTTTCACACTGTAAGAATACAACTCAAAAAATCTCCTTTGCATATAGTCAAAGTTATTGTTATGGAAAGCAGGTGTAAGTCATTTTAATTTGTGAGAAGCAAGAAAGAATTTCAGATTTTTTTTAAATTAACTGTTGGAAACTAGATCACTGTAAGAGACGGATAAATTACTGCAAATATTTTCACCTAAATTCTTTCTTTTACTTCAATCACTTCAAACAATACATCTCATTGTCTTTCAATCACAGAATTAAAACTGAAGGAACAGCTTTCAGAATTGCTTTAAAACAGCCATTCCAAACACTGAAATTATATTTTGTCTTATTCAAAGAGATTAAAACCATTACAAACTAGGTACAAATCATTTAATAATTATTTGTTTCAAAAGGGACTGGCCTTTGCAAGATGGGAAGGAGATCTGAAGAGCTCATCCTTTCTTCACTTGAATCTAAATCCAGAAAACATTCAAACCTGACTCCATGCCAATTAACACTGGGGATAGGGAGGCCTCGTTTTGTGGAGGTGAAGCATGTCTTCGGATCATACTTCACCTTCCCTGTGTTCTGCATTCATGTGCACACCTCTGCGTTCTCCTCTTACATCCCACTATCAGAGCGGCTTCGGAGGGTGCAGGCTGCCGTCTCAAGCACGGCTCCAGGCTTGTTCTTAGCATTTAAATTGTCCAGTAGACTTGCAAAACCCCATTATATATTTCTGACTGAAATGGCAGCTAAAGTCACTCTTTTCTGAGCTTAAACAAGGGCTAGGGGATTTTTTTTCCATACAAAAGCATGCAG